AAAAGGTTTTATATGTAATTAATATGTGACAAATATCTATATAAATAAAAATAATTTGTCATATGTGTTGCTAAGCGCAAAACTCGAGAAAAGCTCGACCGATTCCGTTAATTTTATTGTTTTATTTTCTTTACGGCACAAGAAAGGTTCTTATGGAGAGTAGAAATGTAAAAATTGAAGGAAAACTAGTAAAACAACACTTTTATTTGCCCATACAATTCACAGAGTAAATTAAAACACCTGTCCCTAGCTATCAAACTTTTGACGTCAATCTTAGCAAAACAAAGGCGCGTTACGATTATCTTTGGTATGCCTTCAATTTGATTAGACTGTATGGATATTAATCAATGCCTGCCCAAAATAAAATGATAGCTCTGAAAAAAAGCTTTCTGTTTTAACTGCGCAAAGGTTTGACAGAACGAAGTCTGTCGGGCTAGCTAGTTTCTAAATAAACATACTTATAAATTTCTAAACACTTTATAAAATTGGAACAGGTTTCATTAGTTTTTTTGTGGTATTTTTTTATAAACATATGATTTTATTCTCCTGTGTATTTTGGGGATTACGGAATAGTTCCGGACTCGAAGTTGAAGTGAACTTTTTTTATGGAGTGAAGCTTTCTGGCGCGACGGTGTCCGACTTTATGTGTACCTAATTTACTAACTTAACTATAATAATATGTGTAAATGTAAAAATAATATGTTAATAGTTTCTATTTTTATTTAATTTCCCATGGAGGGCAAATCGTTGACAACCGAATGACATAGTAGTTGGTGTAACGGATTGCTATTTTAAAGGTCGCGGTTTCGATTCCCGCTAAAGCAAACATTTGTGTGCATGAACATTTAATGTTTGATTTGGTCTGGGTGTTTCTATGTATAATATGTATGTATTTACAAAAATACAAGAAAAAATGTATTTATATCAGTTGTCTAGTACCCATAGTACAAGCTCTGCTTAGTTTGGGACTAGATGGCGTGGTTTGAATGTGGTAGAATACTAAAAAAACTAAAAAAATAGTTGTGTAATGAGCAAGATCATTTGCTCTGTGCCTTTGTATAATGCTAGACATAAATAAGAAAGAATGTTTATTAGCGTCGGCTGATAAATATTCTTACCTGGTATCGGTCGTTTGTGCAATGTTTTGTTATAACTCGTTTGCAAGACAGTAGTTGTAGGATAAATCATTACAACAATAGTAACAGACTCGTTCCTAATAGTCTTCTTTAGTTCCTAATAGCTGTGGTAGAAATAACGAGACTTATGAACTTAGTAACTGTTGTATTATAAATTAACTTACAATAATTATTGCATTGCGTACACGACGCGTGCCGACAAGAAAAAGATCATTCAAGATGCGGGAGATGACTCCCGCACGCCTCGTGCATAGTAACCGCAACAGTATTTTCGAAAAAAAAATGGCAGTATACAATCTATTTACACCACAAAATATGTTTACTAAAGCATTTTATTTCTAGCCGTACACGTAATCTAGATAAGTCAAATTTGGCCTAAAGCGAAGTAGAAATTCCATACGGATAGGCGGCTTTATTAATATTTTGGCAGCTTTTGGTATTTTGTGAACAAAGCACACGATAACGAGCTATTGTTGTCTGATCACATACGAAGAACAAACATCTATGATCTGTTATGCTTCTATCTATTCAGGAATAGTAATTAATTTAAAACAACTTGTCTGCACGGATGGCGTAGTGGTTTAAGCGGTCTCCACGCCGCTTCCTACTACGCCGAGTGTTGTGGGTTCAAACCCCACATGGGACGACACTTTGTGTGATCCACAAATTGTTGTTCTGAGTCTGGGTGTTCTTTGTGTTCGTTTCATGTATGTTTGTAAAGTCCCCCGCGACACAGGATTGATTCCTAATGCGGGAGTTGTCTTTAAAAAAAAAAAACTTCAAACAACAACAAAAAAATATCTAAATCAATTAAAAAAATATGTTTACTTTTTGAAGTGGAACCTTCTTTAGGCACGTTGAGCATTTTTGAACAACAAACAAAAGAATGTATTTTTTGAGATGGGAAAAACCATTGAACTCGCTACACTGTTACCGTTACCGACACCTCTGTAAATAAGTATCTACGTATATTAGCCCAGTTTACACGAGAGTTGAGTTTGGCTTGAAATACATTGATAAATAATAAAACTATATATAATATAAACATATATTGTGCATAAACTTACAACATAGATAATATATGTCGGAACTTTTCGAAAAAAAAAAAACAAAAAAATATCCTGTTATAATGCAAAAAAAAACCAAGTTTAAGCCACTGTTTTATTTTTATGGTATAAGGGAGCACACGGCCATGAGGCACCTGCAACTCATCAATCACAAATGCGTTGATACCCTTCGAATCACACAGAATCAGGGGGGAGGGGTGAGGGGTTATATGGTCATCGGTTACATCACTCAATCAATGAAAAGCAACGAAAAGAAGAACTTAAAAGAATAGTAATTTTTAGGAGAAAGAAAGAATTGCTTAACCCCGGTTTTCTGTAAGGCCATGGCTACACGTCGAGCCGGCCCATTTGTGCCGAAGTATCGCCCTCCCACGAGCTCCCTCTCCTATCGACCTTTCCTACCACGGAATAGACACATGGGTAGAGGACCCAAGAATCTTCGAGTAAAGTCTCAGTCCCGATTCATTACTCACGGTTCCTTTTCTTAGGTCCCCTTCGTCCCGTTTTGTTTACCCCAATTTACCTTCACGTTTACCATAAGTTTCTTTGTCTCGTTCCCAAAACAGTTACATTTCCAAAGAGACATTCCTACCTGGCCATAAAAAAAAGCCAAAGATTGCGATATTACACACTGCAATGAATTAGGGTGGATTGGCTGGCACCACCCCAAATAATCTTTGGAAAAAAGCAAAATAACTGACTTCGTGTGGTGACGGATTAAAAATACAGAGTGTCACCACCCCTATTCATCCCGTGGGTGTCGTAAGAGCCGACTAAGGGAAAAAACTACACAGAACAACAGCACTGCAGAGAGAAGGAAAACTTGACACAAACCCTATACCAACCCGTCTGGCCAGCGTGGTATAGTAGGCCAAATCCTCCTTTCTAAGGAGAGGCTATGTCCAGCAGTGGACTATTAAAGGCTGTTGATGAACTGAATATACATAGAGTCACAGCAATAATAAGTCGCTTAATCAAACGTAAAATTATAAAAATAATGGATTCCAAATAATACGTGTCTGCCAATGTCAACAGATAACCGCTCGTTTCCAAATGCAACAGACATAACACACAACCTTGTCAGAAGAAATCGACCACAGGACTTCAAAAAGATGAAAGCGTATATGATTTTTCTGACATTTATCGAAGAGAACAATCATAAGCATGACGACCGATAGGTATGGCTAGGGGGTGAACACTCGACCGCCAGGTGGTGGGGTGGGGGGTTAGAGGTTGGTTTTCGATTCCCGCTCGGAGTAAATATTTATATGCATGAATGCTATTGGAATTTCTATTTACAAGATTGGTCTGGATATTTTTTATTACTATATATGTGTATTACTCTTATCATTTATTTGCATAGAATTTAGGAATGTAGGTAATAGATAGCACATAGAATAAATATAATAATAATAATATTTAAAATCTACCACATTCACATGAATGTACATAAAAAACCGTTTGAAAAAGGTTGAATATGAAGCCAACATTCTGATTTTAAACAAAGCATGCAAATTAAAAAATACATTATAATACTACGATTACAAATTATAAAATAGGTATAATAATAATAATAATAATAATAATATTTATTGTTAAAGTTAACAAACATAATTTCATGGTTGTTATATTACAATAATGACAAATAATGCACTGCTGATACTTAAAAAGGAAACCCTGCTATAAGTACCAGCCACTCTTTATAGCGCAGTTTGGTAATACAATGCTTCCACAGACACACAATTTTACCGCTGAACATTAGAAACAAATTCTGTGGCCACAACCGTTGAATAAATACTATTAAAACTAATGGGTGATTGAAATAAAATGAAATATTAATTAAAGTAAACCTAGTATCTTATAAGTTATGAGAATCAGTGTTCAGGGAGGCTATTGCAAATGGCAGTGAGTGTACGTGAGTGAGTTTGTGTAAGTGCGTATGAAGGAGAGGGTTGTGTGGTGTGTATGGGCATCTGTGTTTGTGTGACTATTTGACTGGATGAAGCAAATTCTCAGTTACATCATAGCTAAGTGTACGAAGCCAAACAGTAACAACCTTCTTACAGTGTTGTTTATTTTTGGAAACAATATTTAACGCCTTGTTCAGATTGTTTTACAAAAAGTGTCCGAGAAAGCAAAAAATCTGTGGCTGAAGGAGGTCTTACGAGGTATGTCAAATTATAACGCAGAGTACTTACAACAAAATGTAAAAAAAAGTGCCTAATGCAAGTGAGAGAACGTTAATTCCATTTTTAAATTAATAGATCATAGTATTAATTCCCTTCCCTCCGGACCGCGGTAGCGAGTAAACGTGTGCACATTGCTTGTTTTTAATAAAAATATTCTTTAAATTAATATTTAATAGTAAATAAAATAGTGAAGGCGCTCATAACGTGGCAGCAGATCGCACATGCAGTGAGCGAAGAAGACAGCAACAAACGAAACGGACACGACAGTTAAGTCTACCCTCATATTATTTGACATATCAACTGTCACCTGACAACGTTACTTGTCAAGGGGTACTACGTCATCTGTCAAGAGTCATCTGCCAAAGTCATATGTCAACATCACTTGTCATAGAGCAATCAACTTCCGGGTAGTGTTGCCATAATTCAAATCGAAAATTAACACCGTCACACAGCTGAGACTTACAACGCTCTGTCACTTGAGACAACTTACAGGCAACAGAGGATAGGTAGTAAATATTGGTGCACAGTCTTAAGTATAAATATTTCTGTGTAGTGTTAAAAAAACAAAACTTCGAACTATTGATCTGAAAAAAAGTGACTCGATAAAAATGTCTGTCTCACGTACACCACCAAAGACCGATGCTAGGCCTACATCTCCTTCTCATTTCGGATCTGACCCTGCGCTTTATACGCCCGAAAGTAGACAGCTCCTAGATTCGAATATTATGAAACGAACTAAACGACGCTTCAATGATCCCTCCAACACTGCGGATATAACACTATCCGACATTCTTGTAAGGGTAGAAGAAATAAAAAAGCAGCAAGACTCGAAATTTACCTCCTTGGAATCATCTATGAAGGAATTAACGAATCAAAACATCGATATAAAAAAATCGATGATGTTGCTGTCCGAAAAATATGATGAAGTTCTGGGTAACCTGAAGTCTTTACAAAAAGAAAATGGCTCTTTAAAGAGCCATAATAAAACTCTTGAGACAAAAGTAGAACAATTTGAAAAAAACATGCGGACCTCTATGATTGAGATAAGAAATGTTCCCGTCACTGAACCTGAGAACAAAGAACACTTGGTCGAGATTGCAAAAAGGATTGGAACTGTTATTAGCGTGCCAATCTTGGACTCGGATATCCGAGATGCATTTCGCATTAAGCGGAAAGACAAACCATCTGGTATAATTGTGGTGGGCTTCACATCGACCCTAAAAAGAGAAAAGTTTTTGCGTGCTACTGTCACTTACAATAATTCAAACAGTGATCAACGACTGAGTACCAATAAGTTGGCCATCGCTGGACCTGATAAACCAATATATGTGGCTGAATCACTTACTGCTTCCGTTAGACGACTACACTACCAAACAAGGTTATTCGCAAAAAGACACAGCTTCGACCACTGCTGGATATCATATGGGAAAGTGTTTTTGAAACGTAAAGGCGATCAGCATCGACTACGTATAAACTCCGAGGAAGATCTTAGAAACTTAGAGAAAACCATTTGACTAGTTTTTACAGCCGACCTTCCTACTTATAGTTTCACTATGCGCCTAAGTATGCGCATTTTATTTTTTTCATTAATAAGCACCTGCCATTATTCTTTTTTTATAAATTTATTCAATAAGCATAATCACATACACTGTAAACACAATACTATTACTAATATACCAACACCAAACAATACATCCACTACACACTCACTACTCCACTATATTGAACCACTTTTTAAATATTATGTTACATCCATCATGATAACTTCTTTCGGAACCAGGTCCACAAGTCCAAATTTTGTTTATAGTAGCTCCCTTGTACTTCAAAATGATTCAGTAAATAATTTTATGGTCAAACTACCTATCCAAAACTATCCCGTTAATATTTTTTTTAGAAAAATTCAATGAATTATTTAATTTACAAAGCGAAATAGACAATTTTGACGTTGCAGAATCGACCATTTGCGATGCCGAGGATTGCTCGTCTTACTTACCTAACTTAAGACAATGTCTTAAAATCTTTCAACAAAATATTAGGAGCTTAAAATGTAACTTACCTGGATTACTACTGATACTGGCCAGGACAGGGGTGGACTGGGATTGCATAGTCTTGACTGAGTGCTGGCTCCTATCAACTCCATATTTACCCTCTATAGATGGATATGATAGCTTTGCTTCCACTAACAACCATACGCAGAATGAAGGTGTAGTCGTGTACTACAAAAGCAGTTTATTCATTGCAGTTGAAGAACCAACAATAATCGATGCAAACTGCCTGGTGGTTACCATAAATAAAGATACAGTAGCTTTGGTTATTTATAGACCCCCTGGGTAAAAAAATATTGACAACTTCTTGCAATCAATAAACAACGTGCTATCAAAATATTATACTGTTGGGAGACATAAATATAAACATAGCTGAACAAAGTACCGACGCTAACCTTTTCGCCTACCTCGATTTGATGGCGTTTCATGGCATAATGCCTGCCTACACACACCCTACGCACAAAAAAACATGTCTAGATCACACACTTCTTAAAACCACGTTAACATCACATTGTCTTATCCTACAAACAACTCTTACCGATCATAATAGTGTTGCCTTATACATAGCTGCTCTTCCCAAATCTAAACCTGCTAAAATATCTAAACGCATAGATTATAACCTTTTAAATGCAGAACTAACTAATGTTGATTTTGGCCCACTGTACGCAATCGTAACGAAACGAAGCCGCTAGTTTATTTCATAATATCCTTTACAAAGCTATTCAAAATAATACCAAAGAAGTGAAACTACCAAGCAGAAAAAAAATCTTAAAACCCTGGATAACCCCTGGGATATTAAGATGCACTAAAAATCGCGACAACTTGTATAAGAAAATAAAGAAAAATCCTGAAAATGAAGTCCTTAAAACTACCTACAAAAGGTATCGTAATTTCTGTTCGACTTTATTAAAAAAAATTAAAAGAGATTTTGAGAAACTCCAATTTCAAGACGCAGGTAAAGATAGTAAAAAGATTTGGAAAATCGTTAAAGAGGTTACTGGTGTGAAAAAATCCAAAAACAGTTCACTAGATTTAATAAACACATGTGACCCACAAACATCAGTAAATCACGTCAACAATTACTTTGCAAGTGTTGGAAAAACGCTAGCTGAAAATATCCAAAAAAATAACCTACAAACAGAATATATCACTTTAAGTTCATGCCGTCATTCTTTTACTCTTCTTTCCACTGATGATGATGAAGTCAGGACATTAATAGCAGGCTTAAAAAGTGAGTGCTCGGTTGGGCTGGACGGAATATCTAGTGACATTTTAAAGACTAATACGCATATTCTAGTATGACCGATAACGTACATATGTAATCTGTCTCTTACAACCGGAGTATTTCCAAAAATCTATAAGAAATCACGAGTTCATCCAATACATAAGAGTGGTGACAGAGGCTGTGTCAATAATTATAGACCTATCTCCATCCTCCCTACTCTCTCAAAAATACTAAAACGCATTATTAACAATAGACTAGTTAAATATTTGGAAAATAAAAATCTATTGTCACAAGCACAATATGGTTTCAGAGCAAAAAGATCCACAGCAGATGCAGTATTGGATCTTACTAGCTACATAGTCAACAACTTAGACACTAAAAAGAAAACTATAGGATTATTTTTGGATTTAGCCAAAGCGTTTGACACAGTTTCTGTCCCTATCCTGCTAAAAAAACTTGAGACCATCGGTGTCAGGGATTTACAACTGAAACTTATACAAGATTACTTGACTGATAGAACTCAATGTGTGAAAATCGGTGATACAATCAGCGAAGAGATACCCGTCAACTTTGGTGTTCCTCAGGGCAGTATTCTGGGTCCGACCTTGTTCCTAGTGTACATTAACGATCTCTGCCAGATTGAGCTTCCAAATACAAAGATCGGCACGTTTGCAGATGATACTGCTGTACTCTTTTGTGGCAATTCATGGAACGAAGTATTTTTAAATGCCCAGAGAGGAATGAATACCGTTACAAAATGGTTGAATAAAAATATGCTCACATTAAATGTCGCAAAGTCTACTTATATAACGTTCTCAACCAAATCCAATGACGCACCTGATCCCTCTCTTCGTATAATCTCACATTCGTGTCGTAATGTCAATGATACAGACTGCTCATGCCCTGAGATTAAAAATACTGCATCAACCAAATATTTAGGCGTAATCATTGACAGAAATCTAAAATTTAATGAGCACATCAATCTTCTTGCTGCGAGAGTACGCAAATTAATAGTTTTGTTTAAAGCTTTAAGACAAGTTGCCCCAAAAGCTGTTATTAAATCTGTGTACTATGCCCTCTGTCAATCTCAGCTTACGTACTGCATCACCTCCTGGGGTGGCGCATGTAAAACTAGCTTCCTTAAAATTGAGAGAGCACAAAGAGCCCTTCTGAAAGTAAGCTTGTTCCTACCTTTTTACCACGCAACGGACGACCTTTACAAAAAATCAGAAGCTTTGACAGTGCGACAACTTTATATATTGCATACCGTGGTTAAACAACATTGTGTAACAACATATGAACCGGAAAAAAACCGACACAAGCGTCGTAAGGATAAAGTTTGCCCTGTACCATTGTTTAGGACCAGTCTTGCACATCGTTTTTTTGGTTACCAAGGTCCAACTTTTTATAATAAATTAAGTCGCGCGCTAAGTTTATATCCCTTACCAAAAACAAAATGTAAGTTTTTGACTATGAACTGGTTACAGAAACTAAATTACAATTGTACAGAAAACCTACTCCATTCAAATTGACTCAAACACTTTATTGCACAGACACGCACACACGCACGCACCCTCACACGCACGCACGCACACACGCACGCGCGCGCACACACACACACACACACACACACACAACACACAAACAATACACTTCATGCGACACGTTTTACTCTACACATCAAACACTTTCACAGATATCCACACACTTACTCTTTTCATAAGTACTTATAAACTCGTTTGTTATAATACACCGGTCAACAATGTATCTGTATGTCCGTGGGGTGAGGACCTGGTGATTTGTAACACAGGCATTCCATACCCATCACAGACACCATCTCTTCACATATGAAAACTAGTCTAGACTGTGTAAATGTAACTAGCTATAAGTATACCATTGTGAAGAGAAAAAAAAAAAAAAAAAAAAAAAAAAAAAAAAAAAAAAATTGTATTAGCTTCATATTATTACATATTTACTACTATTATTATTTATTCGCTGGAAATGTAGCTTTCCAATGGGTAAACAATTTTTAAAATCGTTTTAGTGGTTTAGGCGGAAAGTATAACAAACGAACTCACTTTCATATTTACAATAAAAGTATGATAGGGGTGACGGATTAAGAATACGGAATGTCGCCACCCCTATTCATCCCGTGGGAGCTGACTAAGGGAACAAACGGCACAGAACAAAAGCACTGCAAAAAGAAGGAAAACTTGAAACAATCCGTCTGGCCAGCGTGGTATAGTAGGCCAAAACCTCCTTTCTAAGGAGAGGCCTATGTCCAGCAGTGGACTATTATAGGCTGTTGATGATGGTGATGTAGGATGCCAACTCAGTACCTATGTGATAGATATGAACCCACTCATAACACAACATTTCACTTAACTGGTATAGTAATAAGAACAGTATTAATAATTGTCAGAAGTTAGTATTACGACGGGCCTGTTGGTCTAGTGGTTAGTGACCCTGACTGCTAAGCCGGAGGTCGTGGGTTTGATTCCCACCCAGAACAAATATTTGTATCATCATCATCATCAACAGCCTTTAATAGTCCACTGCTGGACATAGACCTCCCCTTAGAAAGGAGGTTTAATATTTGTATGATGAGCACGATCGTTTGTTCTGTGTCTGGATGTAATTTATCTATAATATGTATGTATTTATTCTATGGCGGCATTTGAATTATCCATCAGAAATTTCGAAGTATTTAATGTAATACTTATTTATAAAGAACTAGGTGTATCCTCCCACAAATCGTTGTGGCACACTGTGCTTGAAAAAATAGATAAAAACACTATTTGAAACATGTTGTTATGGTGTGTTGTACATGCTTACAAAAAAGCTAAAAACAATTATATTCTATTGGAATTGAACAATTTTTTAAAAATTTAAAATGAATAAATAAATGTGAATTTATTTGTTATCAACTTACTCTAGGTTCATGTTTATATTAGAACCGCCTTTATATTTCTCTTTTATTTTACGTGTCACTAGACATCATTTACGAAGAGGGTGCAGTTGACCTGCATGATTATAATATGCCATTGTTACCCGCTAATGAAAATCATAATGTAAAAAATAATTGAAAACATCATTGTACCCGCAACGAATATAAATTTGCGTCACAAATTAAATTTACACACCAAAATTTAAGCCCTCCGATATTATTAACATATATTATGAAAATAAGCAAAGACAAAACAGTCTATTTATTTTTTAAATGATTTTACAAAAATAAATTGAG